CTTTTGACCTGGCGACCTCTAAAGTTAACCCAACGATGGACCCGGCTAGACCACAATGCTATCAGCCACCAGTGGAGAGTCTCGATAGAAAACTGCCGCCCAGTCTGGGACACATGTTAATATTCAGATTATGCTCTGGTACAAGCGCGTATTTGTCTGCAGTATGTGTTACGTATGAGCGACCACCGACCGCTTCGTCGAGCTATATTTTGTAGTGTAGTAGGTTGGAAGAAAGCAAGGGGCGGTCCATGAAGTCCCTGACAACTCGGGCTGAGCCATCATGGTAGGTATAGATCACATGATTTGAGTTGGCAAGACCCTAGTTACCGATTTGGAATAAGATGGATCAAAGTCGTTTACAATGGCGCATCCATTCATTTTCTTCTCTCAAATTCCCATCTTTAAAATTCCTTGTCACCTTTATCTTTCTCTTCTTAAATTTATTTAACTGGGATGCACTTCTGGGATTATATCTTCGAACCCTAATCTTCTCTAGCACTGTTAATACTTCTACTATTCCTACGACTAAGGGCTTTGAATTGAAAATTCAATCTCTCTGTGCTAACGTGGTATGTCAACTTGAACTGATGTACGTACATACAAAGTACTAATTTGTAGTTGACTGACTGAAAACACACACAAAAGCATCCACTTTGATGATTATATCTTACGTGTTCGAAATAGACACACTAGAATACATGAATAGGCTAACTAAAAATAACAATGTTTCACCAAATTCAAAAAATTAATAGCATTTATTACGTCGAGTTTTCGATTGTTCCTAAAGCACCTTTTTTCACTTGCTCTTTTCCGTTTTAATAACAATTATGAGGATTATAATTTGGGTAATGAAATGCTGTATGGAGCGGAAACTTGCAGAACTACTAAAGCCATCATCCACAAGATACAAGTGTTTATTAACAGTTCTCTACGCAAAATACTTCGTATGCGTTGGCCAGACACCATCAGCAACAACCTACTGTGGGAGAGAACAAACCAGATTCCAGCGGAGGAGGAAATCAGGAAGAAGCGATGGAAGTGAATAGGACACACACTGCGAAAGGCACCGAACTGCGTCCCAAACACAAGCCCTCACACGGAACCCTCAAGGCAAAAAGAAAAGAGGAAGGCTGAGGAACACATTACGCTGTGAAATAAAGACGTGAGAAGAATGAACAAAAATTGGAAAGAATTAGAAAGGGAAGCTCAGGATAGATTTGATTGGACAGCACTGGTCGGTGGCCTATGCTCCATTGGGGGTAACAGGCGTAAGTAAGCAAGTAAGTAATGAAATGCTTGTATAGTAGTTAATGTCAGATCGTAATGAAAAGTCTAACCTGATTACGATGGAGTTTCATGTTTGAGCTAAAATATTTTGGTGATGAAGCTTTCATTACTATTCTTCTCAACTACATTATCAGCACAAACTTCAGATAGAGAAGTGAAGTATTCAAATTTCAAAAGCTCGACAACCAAAAAAAAATCCACCTCAGAGCATAAAACTCCATCATCATAATCATCCATCTGAGCTACAAATTTTCACCACCATCTCAAAATCTACCCTGAACTACATTGAACAAATTACCTAATACTTCTCCATCTTCTAAAAGTTTGAAATCTTCAACTAATCAATTAACACAAATTCGCTACTAATGTAGGCAAATGATATAAAAATAATGGATATATTTGTATGGATTTGATGTTACACTTAAACAGGCGAATTGTTGTCTGTATATGATATAGGAATAAACAATCAGGCGTATCATTTTAATGTCATTAATTGATTTTCACGTGTTCAAAGTTCAATATACGTTTGTCTATCTTAAGCATCAACTAAATTGATCTAAACAGTTTTTCTACACAAGATACTCCAGATTCGTTGGCCAGACATCCTTAACAAGAGCCTAATGTGGAAGAGAACAAACTAGATTGCAGCAAAGGAAGGAATTAAGAGAAAGCGCAGGATATAGATCAGATATTCGTAGGTTACTGGTTTACGATCATAGGTGTCGTCGAAGCATCGCATGTACATCCTGGGAGACCCGAGTGATTAACGCTATTATTAGGAAACGGGTGCTAGGTAAGGATGGCAGATCAATAGACTCAGTGGTGACACTTCATCAGTTGAGGTGGTTGGGACATGTGCTGCGTATGCCCAACCACCGACTGCCTCGTCGAGCTTTGTTTTGTAGTGTAGGAATAGGTTGGAAGAAAGTTAGGGGCGGCCAAACCAAAACATGGCACAAATCCATGAAGTCATTGACAAGTGGACTTAGCCATGTCGGTAATTGTCGACTACCTGGTTAGGGTCCGCGAGATGATAATAATCGATGGTTAGAGACCTTGAATGACATGGCTAAAAATCGTTCGCAATGGCGCCGGTGCATTCATTCTTTGTGTTCTCTCAAATCCTAATCTTCTGGGTTCTTCAACACCTCTAGTTTTGACTTTCTAAACTTTTCTCACTGACTCATACTTCTTGAATAATATCTTCTAATCCTAACCTCTCGGATTACTTCTGATACCTTTACTACATCTCCTACTATTGGATTTGAATTGACAATTACATCTCTGTGCTGATGTGGTATGGCAACATGAACGGATGTATTTACGTACGAAGTTCTACGTTGCATCTGACTGACTGACTGAGACACATACTGCGGAAATCCCCAAACTGCATGACAAGCCCTCACTTGAAATCCTTGAAGGCCAAAGGAAAAGAGGTAATCTGAAGAACATACTGAGCTACGGATTGGAAACAAACATTCAAAGAATGAATAATGATTGATAATAACTGGAAAGGAGAACCCAAGACAGAGTTGATGTCGGATCCTGATCGCTAGCTTATGCTCCGCGAGGTATGACAGGTGTAGGTAAACTAGTTTCGGAATCTCTATACTTGGTATCTTGAGTCCGTTAAGATCACCATTTGTATATTTCGCTAGAGATGAAAAGGTGTGTGTTAGTAGATCAATAGTACATCAATTACATTTATGAATAGTGACTTGTATACGACCAAAAGAATGTCAACTAATCAATTTTATTTATCATTAATTATTTATTAAATGTGTAAATAATAAAAGATACATTTTTTAAAAATCATTTTCACATGTGAAATTCTCTTTCTTTTTTTAAAAAAAATATGATTATGAGAATTTGTAAATCAGTTAACTTTACCTTTTAATATTGATGATAAAAAGCCGACAACAATGCACTTGTCAGATGTTGGCAAAATCTCACCGAGAAAATCAATATATTATTCTTTTAAAATAATATACAAAATCTTGGATAAGAGAAATTTCTACGCTAACAATCCTTTTTCATGATAATAATGTAATTAAGAGAACAGAATATAGAGTTGTGAAGAATGAATTCGCTGGCAAGCGAAGAGCTGTGTTACGCAAAATATGAAGACAGTAAATTAGCGATACAATTAGCATCTCTTTATTTTTGAATTGTACCTTAAAAACTTCAACATTTATGGCTACGTTGAACTCGAAGTTGGTCTCATCAACTTTAGCAGGCTGTATTGTGTTCATTGTCAGGCTCATCAACTTTAGTGGCCTGTAGGCTGACTCGTTTATTTAGGGACGTTCCAGGATGCTATAAAATAAATCTCCCCTTAAGTATATTATACTTAGGAGAACCCTGTTTGTGTGACAGGAATAATTAGGCTTCTCATCCTCGTCCGACTTCTCAGGAGTGGACTTTCTACCAGAAGATTCATTAGTTGACTTAGAATATGCCGATGACATAGTTCTACTTGGTGAAGACGATGAGAAAATACAGTTATTCGACTACCCTAAACAACAATGCATGTTCAGGATATGGTTTTTCCCGTCAAGATGCAAAAGGATTGCGTTGCATTGGTACCTGAACTAGTAAAAGGGAGTGAAGCAGTTGAGCATGTTGATTGCTCGGGAGTCTCATCGGTGCTGATGGCTTGGTGACTGACATAATCTCAGCACGCATACAGAAAGCTCGATTGGCTTTTGTCAACTTGCGTCACTTATGGCGTAAGCGATTCTAATGAGTAGCAGTTTGCTTCGTCCTACTATACGGATGCGAAACATGGCCGGTAAGAGTAGAGGACTTTGGTTGGTTACTAGTCTTCGATCATCGGTGCCTCCGAAGCATTGCTCGTGTATCTTAGGACAACCGAGTAAGCAATGCTGTCGTTAGGGATGGCAAATTAATAGATGAAGTAATGAAACTTCATCAGTTGAGGTGGTTGGGACATGTGTTGTGTAGGCCTAACCACCGACTAGCGCGACGAGCTATGTTTTGTGGTGTACGAGTAGGTTGGAAGGAAGCTAGGGGTGGCCAAACCAAAACATCGCACAAATCCATGAAGTCACTGACAACTCGACTGAGCCATTAGAATAGGTGTATATTACCTGGTTGGGTTCCACGATACAATCATAATCGATGGTTAGAGACCTTGAATGAAATGGCTCAAAATCGTTTACAATCCTAATCTTCAGAACTCCTCATCACCTTTATCGTTCGCTTTCAAAAGTTATCTCACCGAATTATACTTCTCGAATCATATCTTCGAACCCCAATCTTCTCCATTACCAGCAATACTTCTACTATCGCTACCACTGTTGGATTCGAACTGACAGTTGCGTCACTGTGCTAATGCGGTATGGCAAACTGAAATGATGTACCGAGTTCTACGTTGTAACTGACTGACTGACTGAACCGCCTGAATTCTCCATCATCTTTATCTTTATGCTTAAAAGTTTATTTCACTAGATTATACTTCTTGAATAAAATATCTTTGAAGCATAATCTCTCCGATTATTACTAATACTTCTACTACCCTTTGTCAGTATATGACTGGAAATGACAATACGATCTTTGTGTGCTAATATGGTATGTCCACTTGAACTGATGTATGTATGTACGTACGTAAGTACGTACCAAGTGCTACATTGTAGCCGACTGACTAACTGACTGACTGACGTTACTTACACTTAGGAAATAAAACATAACAATCTATTTATATATATAATGACTGATTAGTTAGTAGTATAATTTACATGATAATAATCCGACTTTTTAAAAAAAAACAATAGAAATTAAAGAGATAAAAAAAACCCAGAGGGGTAAAACAGCAGATCAGGAAAAATGATGATGTTGTTGTTGTTAAGAAATGCAACAGACACACACACACACACACACCCAGCAATACAAATCAAAATGTAAAAAAAAAAAAACAAATTTACAAATCAGCAACAACCGAAAAAGAAAAATACAGAAAACACGAGAACGACTCATGTAAATTATCCATGATCATATTAACTGATGGTTACAAAACAGTAAACCAAACCGAAACAAACATGAAAAAGGTCTACCATCATCATGATATTCCTATTGACAAGATACAAAGTTTGTATAGTCAGGTAGAGGAGTTGTAGCGCCAGTGGCAGTGGCAGTAGTATTGGCGGCGGCGGCGGGACTATGATCACCGCCATCGACAACAGCACGGAGAATAACATTCTGTTGTTGTTGGTGGTGTTGCTGCTGTTGTTGGGCAATCAAATCCGATGGTCCTGTCGGTCCGGTTGAAGGACGAACAATACCGAATGATTCAATATTTTGAAAATCCGATAAAAAATCATCAAACTCTTTCAATGTTTTCTCATGACGTTCTAATTCATCCACCAAAGCATCTGCATCGAATAAAGATGATTGAGTTGTATTCGTGTTGGTGTTGGTGTTGTTGTTAGTAGTAGGACTGGTAGTTGTCGTCGTCGTGTTATTATTCATAGTCATCATAGAACTAGGAGAGTTGGTTGTTGTAGTAGTAGTAGAAGTAGTAGCAGTCATGTGTGGTACATGAAACAAGTCAAGATTAGCTTTTTCACGTAGTTCCGTAAATAAATGCGTTAAACGTGCTCCACTTACACCGAATGTACTAAATGGTAATTGCAATGGTACTTGTTTATGCACTAAGTCATCATCATCGTCACAATCATCATCTTCATTTGGATGATTGTCAGTTTCATCATGATCATTGATCAGCTGTTGTTGTTGTTTGTCAATTAACGGTGAACTAGTATATTGTGAACGAAGATTGTTAATAAATTCATGTAGATTAATAATTGGTGCATTGGCTTGTTCATTCATATCGAATACTACTTGATTGGTGGTATGAAATAGTTCTTTATTGATTGTCTGTGAAGAGTCATGAGAATGTTTGGAAGTGTATTCTTCCGTATGAACACCTGAATAGTGGTGATCAATCGCATCATCATCATCATTATCATCATCATCAACATCATCATCGTCTTCATCGTCGTCATCATCCTCGTCATGAGATGATGAGTCGTCAATCATGTGTTCTTGTTGTGTTTCCAATATACCTGTATGTTTGAATTTTCGAGCAACCTGAAAAAACAAAACAGTTTTAAAAAAAGCCTAAATTATTATTAAACTACAAACAGGAGTCAAATTGCATACCACTAAAGTGATGAGCCCTAATTTAAATTTAACGCAGGCTATTGAATACTTCGACTATCTCTACTCTCGGACGTAGCTGCTATCTTGAGGTGGTGGTTGAACTAGCCAATCGTTATCACCCAAATGAACTACATTAGCTGCAACATATATTCCTGTAGGTTCTACCATGCAAGGCAGGTCAACTGGAGAACCATGAGACTAAAAAAACAGATACTCAAGGTCTAAGAGAGAAGTCGTACTACCGAATGTAGATGGGTGTGACAGCAGTAAGATGTTTCCCTCGGACAACCACCATCTGCCTTCTCACAAGGAAAGAAGGGTTAGAAAATGTCGACCATAAAAATGTCACACCTCACGTTACCTCACGGATTCCCATCTCCAGCGGTAAGGTCTTTTAAACAAGAGAGGAGCTAACACGTTGAAAACCTCCCACAAAAAAGGGCGTGTGTGACCGACGTGAAGCAGTTGTCCCTTGGGCTCTGTGGTCACGCTCGCAGGTCTCTAAGACCACCGCTAATCTAACCTCCTTTTCAGGTTTCTCATGAAACACTTCCACAGTGTGGGTAGCCGGGAATTGGCATTCACCCTCGTGCCCGTAACAGCACACGAGACCGAATCGATCACAATCAAATCCATTCTATACCTCCTAATAACTTTCTTATCTCCACGACCAACCACCTTACCTTCGTTCCTTTGTCACCTCGAGCCGCTGATACAAACGTTTCGAACTCACGAAACGTTATTTCTGGCCTCCTGATACCCCACTCTACACTATATAATGGAGCTTTTAATGTTCGGACCTTGTGTCAAATAGGGCAATAGGCTTCATTAGCTAGGACTTAAAGAATCTCACGCCATCGATGTATGCCACGTTTCCAAAACGCGCATACAAAATCCGAGTAGCCGCGGAAACAACAGCTATGTACTAGTTAGGTAAACCATAAGGTTAGAGAGAAACATTGGATTTCAGTAGCATCTACCGAACTGATAGACGCTCGGAAACTGACGAAATCTCAGCACGGATACTAAATGCTCTATTGGCTATTGCCAACTTGCGTCAATATCATGAGATACATTCACGAAGACAAACAGTAGGTTCATACCTTGTTTGTTCCCTGAGGATCCTGGAGCCCAGATACACCGCCATCGGTTTAGAACCACGGTTTTCCACCTCCCCTGCGGGAGATCCAACATACCTTTAGTCCAAATTCAGCACAGTAAATCCACTTTTCGTCCCATCAATTTTGTGATCAACATCTCCCGCCATGAGTAAATAATGAGTTGAAGTTCCCTAGAGTAGCTAGCTATATACACATGACCATATGAGAACATTTCGAGAGGAATAGGAGACTCTCCTTACTCTAAGCTATATTTCGGGCCTACTGTTCATGTTGGTGCCATATCTACTGTGGATGCTGTCAACCAAAACAGCTTGCAGCTCAGTCCATGAGATGGCTGCCATCATTTCCCTATTAGTGCATGCACGCGCTAACCACTGCACCTTCATATATTCATATACATTTTGGGTATCATAAGTTTGTGGTCGACTCATTAACCACTAGTAAAACTGTTTAGTACAACTGATGATTTACAGTTAGCCCCCTATTCATAATCACTTCAGTTTGTTTATGTATGTATAATTGTGAGCTTTCAATGTACAGATTGATGTGATTCATTCAGTATATTTTTACATAAAATCATATGAACATGAAATATATATCAATATATACATATATCCAATAATAGATATAAAATTGTTAGAATATTCACCAAATATCCTAAGAATACTATTTTTAGAAGTACAATCCTATTGGCCGAAATTATGATCGTTCAAACTGTCAAAGTCAAATACTTCAATGTTGCTTTTTATTGGTCATCTGGACTGTAAATGTCATTTCAAATGTTCTTTTCTATTGGTCGGCCTAAACTGTCAATGTCACAGACGTTGATGCTCTTTCTTATTCGACCTTAGTGTATAAATACGCACTATCTGAAAGACTTAATGATTCCGTTTCCCCTGCCTACCTCTTCTTCCGTATTCGACCCAATAAACAACTCGCTTCCACGGTGTTACGTTCTGATATCTAGGAGATTTGGAAATAGCATTTTGAGTCGTATTGGGATATTTGAATTGGACGCCGTTAGGACTGAAGAGCTCTATACGTAGCAGTGTTACAACAAAAATAAACATGGAAAATGAAAGAAAAAAAATAAGAGTAAACTAACACGTTGAGCTGATTTTCTACTTAATAATTGACTGGCTGGATCAAAATATTCATCCGGTTCCGATTCATATTGTTCAACTGCAAAAGCTGGTTTCACTCGACTATAATGAAAATATAGATAATAATAATCATAAATTACGATTCGATTAAGAGATAACACAATCGGTCAGCGATCATCTATCTATGTCGAAACGTAATAAGGTTATAATGGATAAGTGAGGTTTTAGAGGGGATTTATGTACTGCTCAGCTTATAGCTATTTACGCAAACGGGTTTGAATTACGCTTCAATTACTAAGTTTTGGTTAGTCTTCATCCTGTTATAATATGATGTGGATTAAAGTTAAAAGTATGTCAGATAGTCAGTCAGTCAGTTACAACATAGAACTTTGTACGTACGTACGTTAGTTAAAGTTGCCATACCACATTAGCACGGAAATGCAATCTTCAATTCAAATCTCATAGTAGTAGAAGTAGTAAAGGTATGAACAGTATTCGGAGATTCTAGGGTTCGACGACATTATTCAAGAAGTATAATTATCGTCTCGCGGACACCAACCAGGTAGCCTACATCTGCCAACATGACTCATTCCACTTGTCAGTGACTTCATGGGTTTGTGCTATGTTTTGGTCTAGCCGCCCCTAACTTTCTTCCAACCTACTCCTACACCACAAAACATAGCTCGACCAGGAAGTCGGTGGTTAGGCATATGTAACACATGTCAAAACCACCTCAAATGACGAAGTTTCAACACTTCATCTATTCATCTACCATCATTACCTAGTACCCGTTTCCTAACGACAGCATTGTTTACTCGGCTGACTCAGGATACATGAGCAATGTTTCGGAGAAACTTATAATCGAAAACAAGTAACCTACGAATGTCCTCTACTCTTACTGGCCATGTTTCGCATCCGTATAGTAGGACGGAGCGAACTGCTGAGCGGTGAATTCGTCCTTTGGTGGTTACCAGACGGGTATCTCACCTATGCCATAAGTGACGCAGGTTGACAAAAGCCAATCGAGCCTTCTGTATCTGTGCTACCATCTGCACCGATGAAGCTCCCAAGATAATGGAAGGAGTCAAAACGCTCTACTACTTCACTTCCAATTATCATCAGCTCAGGTGCCGATGGAAGCCAATACTGAGGTAATATTTTACATTTCGAGGTGCAGAATCACATCCCGATCATATTTACATTGTTGCTCAAGGTATTCTTCTCAGAAGACTTAAAAGTATATAAGCTTGTAATAAAGTAACTGATTACGATCAGATTCTCTTGCTTAACTTTAAATCATACTCTCTGTATATACAAGGGGTTAGCGATAATAGCTAGTTATCACTGAAATAGGCGGAGCGGAACTTAAGCCTAATAAGATCCAGTGATTGAAATTCCAACACACTAGCCACCCAATCATTGCATACTTAACAACACATTTAAACTTGTATTTGATAATTCAAGGCAAAAACATGTAAAAAGTCATTTTAATTAAAAACAAACTTACCATGGCAAATTGGACTGTTCATAACGAGTCATATCAACGATAGTTTGTGTATTACTGACCGGTTTAATAATAGGTATCTCTGAGACACGAACATGTTTTTGTGATTTTTTCTGATGCTGCTGGTGTTGCTGCTGCTGCTGCTGATGATGATGATGTAATGCATGGAAGTTGACACTTTGACGATCATTTGTATCAAGTATCTAAATTATTTTTCAAAAGTAAAAAAAAATTTTGTGAAACGATAAACAAGTTGAATTATTGTAAAATATCATCATACCATGAAGTGAGACTAGTTAATTTATAGATGAGCCAATCAAATTCAAGATTTAATGGGCACCTGAGCTACTGATAGGGAGTGAATAAGTCGAGCGTGTTGATCACTTCACTTATCTGGGGAGTCTCATCAGCGCTGACAGCCTGGTGACTGACGAAATCTCAGCTCGGATACAGAAGGCTCGACTGGCTTTTACCAACCTGTGTCACTTATGGCGTAGGCGAGATATCCGTTTGCTGACTAAAGGACGAGTGTACTGTGCAGTAGTTCGATCCCTCTTACTTTATAGCTGTGAAACATGGCCAGTGAGAGTAGAAGATATTCGTTAGTTATTGGTTTTCGATCATAGATGTCATCGAAGCATCGCATGTACGTCCTGGGAGACCCGAGTGATTAACGCTATCATTAGGAAAGGGGTGCTAGGTAAGAATGGCAGATCAATAGATGAAGTAATGAAACTTCATCAGTTGACGTGGTTGGGACATGTGTTACGTAGGCCTAACCACCGATTGCCTCGACGAGCTATGTTTTGTATGTAGTGTAGGAATAGGTTGGAAGAAAGTTAGGGGCGGCCAAATCAAAACATGACAGAAATCCATGAAGTCATTGACAAGTGGACTGAGTCATTTTGGTAGATGTAGACTACCTAGATAAGATCCGCGAGACGAAAGTCACCAACGGTTAGAGACCTTCAACGACATAGCTCAAAATCGTTTGCAACGGCGCAAGTACATCCATTCGTTGAGCTCTCTCAAATCCTTATCTTCTGGATTCGTCAGCACCTCTACCTTTGTCTTTCTAACCTTAGCTCACTGAATTATATTTCTTGAATAATATCTTCAAACCCTAGTCTTCTTCATTACCAATAATACTTCTACTATCTCTATCACTATGGGATTTGATTTGACATTTGCGTCTCTGTGCTCATGTGGTATGGCAACCTGAACTTATGCACATACGTACGCAGTTCTACGTTGCAACTGACTGACTGACTATAATGGGTCTTGAAATTTCGAATATGATTATTAAACAGTATTCTGGTATCATAGCTGATGCCGAATCGTAATGAGAAAAGCCTAAACCTAGTTCCTAACATGAACCCTAAATCCCAAATCTAATAATTCCACATACTAATTTATAAATCTTTTTAGACCCTATCAAGAATGTACATTTTCAGAAGGTAACTACTTCCGTGTCTACAGCATGGGGCGGAAACTTTGGAAACTACCAAAACCATCACCCAGAAAATACAAGTATTAATTAACAGTTGTCTACACAAAACACTTCAGATTCGTTGGCCGGACACCATCAGCAACACCTTAGTGTGGGAGAGAACAAACCAGATTCCAGGATAAAGAAGAAATTAGGAAGAAGCGCTGGAAGTGGATAGGGGACAGATTGAGGTAAGCACCCAACTGCGTCACAAGACAAGCCCTCACATGGAACCCTCAAGGTCAAAGGAAAAGAGGAGGAACACATAACACCGAGAATCAGAGAAAGACATGAGAAGTATGAGCGAAAATTGGACAGAACTGCAAAGGGAATCCCAGGACAGAGCAGGTTGGGGAATACTGGTCGGAGGCCTATGCTCCACTAGGAGTAACAGGCGTAACTCCAAGCCCACTTCGGCATCGCGCAAAGATCGTGCATAAATTATAGTCTCACCCATAATTCAAACAAATAACAACCAGTAGACAGAATGCATATTTAATACATGGATAACTGGGCTGTAATCAATATCCTGTGTTTGTTTAATCCTTTTAGCATTGATCCAGTCTCTCTATGTGGTCGTCAATCAGTCTAAGGCCGCCCCTAGCGATTCAAGATACCTTGAATAGATAACTTGCTTTACCAATCAGTGTCTAAACATCTGCATCAAGTCTACCTTGTTTATCAATGATGATGCCTAATATCTAAAAGGTTTCTACATCTTTCAAAGTCAGTCAGTCAGATGCAACGTAGAACTTCGTACGTAAGTACATCAGTTCATGTCGTCATACACCATTAGCACAGAGATGTAAATGTCAATTCAAATCCAATAGTAGAAGAGGTAGTAAAGGTATTAAAATTAATCGGAGAGGTTAGGATTAGAAGATATTATTCAAGAAGTATGATTCAGTGAGATAAGTCTAGAAAGTCAAAAGTAGAGGGGTTGAAGAATTCAGAAGATTAGGATTTGAGAGAACACAAAGAATAAATGCACTTGAGTCATTGCAAATGGTTTTTTAGCCATGTCATTCAACGTCTCTAACCATCGATGATTATCATCTCGCAGACCCCAACCAGGTAGCCTACATCTACCAACATGACTCAATCCACTTGTCAATGACTTCATGGATTTCTGTCATGTTTTGGTCTGGCCGCCCCTAACTTCCTTCCAACCTATTCCTACACTATAAAACATAACTCGTCGAGGCAGTCGGTGGTTAGGCATACGTAACACATGTCCCAACCACCTCAACTGATGAAGTTTCATTACTTCATCTATTGATCTGCCATTCTTACCTAGCACCCGATTCCTAATAACAGCGTTGCTCACTCGGGTGTCCCACGATATACGAGCAATGCTTCGAAGACACCTATGATCGAAAACCAGTAACCTACGAATATCTTCTACTCTCACTGGCCATGTTTCACAGCTATAAAGTAAGAGGGATCGAACTACTGCACAGTACACTCGTCCTTTAGTCAGCAAACGGATATCTCGCCTATGCCATAAGTGATACGGTCTACACGTTCGACTACTTCACTCCACATCACTAGTTCAGATGCCGATGCAACCCAGTCTTGAAGCAACATTTTGCATTTCTAGGGGGAAAACCGCATCCCGGACATGCTTGCATTGTTGCTTAGGGTAGTTAGAAGACTCCCGTGAAACATCCCGACCGTAGCTGCTACCTTGACGTGGTGGTCGGGCTTGTCTTCCGTGATGACCCGCCCGAGCTATATTGGCTGGAACTTATGTTCCTGTAAGTTCTATCATGCCAGGCAGATCGACTGGAGAACGATGAGGCTAAAAGAAGCTACCCAAGGTCTGAGGGCGAAGTCGTACTGCTGACTGCAGAAGGGTGTAACAGCAGTAAGGTGTTTCCCTCGGACAACCAACATCTGCAGAGATGTTGCCTTCTCACAAGGAAGGAAGGGTTAGAAAAGGTCCACCCTAAAAATGTCACACCTCACATTACCTCACGGATTTCCATCTCCGGCGGTAAGGGTGCCCACCAAGGGCCTTTATGAACGGAGCTAATCCTCAAAATACCTTTCATAAAAAGGCCGTGCCTGACCGGCCTCAAGCAGTTGTCCCTTGGACTCTGCGGTCACGCTCCCAGGTCTCCAAGACCAACACTAATCTATCTTCCTCTTCAGGTTCCTCAAGAAACAACCTTCCACGGTGTGGGCAGCCGGGAAGTGACAACCGCCCTCATACCCGTAACAGCACACGAGACCAAATTCCTCGAAATCAAATCCTTCCTACACACACACATACCCCTCTTCTCTCCAAAACTAACTCTACTCACATTCCCTTATCTGACTGCACCGCTAATGCAAACAATGAGAGTTCACGAAAAGTATATACTGTAGCTAACAAAAAACAATAAAAGAATGTAACTAAATAATAAATAATAATCTCATGAAACCTTAAAAAAAATTAATATATATATGAAACCATCTAAGCTAAGAAGATACTACTTATATTATGCCTACTACTATATATTTGTAATCTAATGAAAAAGTATTACCTGCCTGTTGTTAACTATACCATTCATTGCATAACAACGTATACATATATATATATATATGTATATGATCAAATAAGCAAAATGTATTGTGTGCGTAGAATTAATTGTTAAATTATGCATAAAACCAATAGTATGTGCGTGCGTACGTTAGTGCGTGTAATCAACCAACTGACTACTCATTTTTTAAATTTAATTATGCTGGAAAAAATTTATTTCAAGCCGCTCATATTGACTGATTGATTGATTGATTATTTTAAATTAGAAACACGTGAATATCTCACAAGTGATTTTGGTCAAGCTTTCTTCTTCTAGTAGTAGTAGTAGTAGTAGTAGTAGTGTAAGATAATTTAAAGATTGAAACATTAGAAATGAGCAGCTGGAAAATACGTTTAGTGTTACACAATAAATTCAATGTTTTCAATCGACAAATTCTATGGCGTTCTATGGTGTTGACTCTTATCGACACATTGACAATGTTGACAACAAACATCAACATTGTCAACTGTATACAGTGTAAACATCAACGTGCTAATGAATGCGTAGTACAACCAGTCAGTCATTCATGGAGATAAGAGAGGTATTAGGGGGTGTAAGAAGGATATGATTTTGACCAATTTGGTCTCGCGTGCTGTTACGGGTGTGAGGGCGGTTGTCACTTCTCGGCTGCCCACACCGTGGAAGGTTGTTTCTTGAGGAACCTGAAAAGGAAGATAGATTAGTGTTGGTCTTGGAGACCTGGGAGCGTGACCGCAGAGTCCAAGGGATAACTGCTTGAGGACGGTCACGCAAGGTGTGACATTTTTAGGGTCGACCTTTTCTAACCCTTCCTTCCTTGTGAGAAGGCAGCATCGCTGCAGATGCTGGTTGTCCGAGGGAACACAAAGAATGGATGCACTTGCGCCATTGCGAACGATTCTGAGCCATGTCGTTCAAAGTCTCTAACCATTGGTGACTTTCGTCTCGCGGACCCCAACCAGATAGTCTACCTCTACCAACATGACTCAGTTCACTTGTCCTGTAGTTTTTATTTCTTTAGCAGTTTTTCTCTTCTTTAGTTAGATTCTTCATACTTAATCTTTCTTTTCAACCATTGATAGTACCATTATTCCTCAGTCAGATGCAACGTAGAAGTTCATACGTAAGTACATCAGTTCATGTCGCCATACCACATCAGCACAGAGATGTAATTGTCAATTCAAATCCAATAGTAGAAGAGGTAGTAAAGGTATTAGAAGTAATCGAAGAGGTTAGGATTAGAAGACATTATTCACGAAGTATGAATCGGTGAGAAAAGTTTACAAAGTCAAAACTAGAGGGGTTGAAGAATCCACAAGATTAGTATTTGAGAGAGCACAATGAACGGATGTACCTGCGCCATCGCAAACGGTTTTGAGCCATGTCATTCAAGGTCTCTAACCATCAATTATTATCATCTTGCGGACCCTAACCAGGTAGCCTATATCTACCAACATGACTCAGTTCACTTGTCAATGACTTCATGGATTTGTGCCATGTTTAAGTCTGGTTGCCCCTAACTTTCTTCCAACCTACTGTTACACCACAAAACATAGCTCGTAGAGGCAGTCGGTGGTCAGGCATACGCAGCACATGTCCCAACCACCTCAACTGATGAAGTTTCACCAATTCATCTATTGATCTGTCATCCTTACCACAATATAATAGAGAACAAACAACACAATATACTCAAAAACACATATATACACACATACACACACAAACATACAAAAGAATTCCTAACTTACTTCATTAATTTCATTAATAGGTATTAATTTATGATTAGAATTATAATGAATCTCTGTACGATAATGTACTGTTGTACCTAAATACACTGGTAATAAACCATTGGCAATAATTAAATCAGCAAGATTATATTCATTCTCTGTTATATTTTGATCAAATAATATAGAATTAGAAATTAACGATGGATAACTTGCAGGTATAATTTGTTCATCTTGTTTTAATGATTGTTTTGGTATAGCTAAACCAGAGAATATACAACCAATTTGATAAGTTTTCGGTGTTGAACCAAGTCGTGTAAGATCACTTGGACCACGACGAAGTGTATAACACATTTGATAATCATTTGGATCTTGATGACGTGAAAGTTGATAACCTAAAATGTTGATAAATAGATAGATAAGTGAAATCATGGTCCATTCATTCATGATCGATTTGGTTTTATTTGTTTTTATGGGTATGAAGGTGGATATTACTTCCCCGCTGCTAACACCGAGTCCGGTATGTTTGACATAGAAAGCATGTCTTGCTTGAAATATAACGAATTTCTCGGAAACTGGGTAGAGAGGTGTTAGTGGGACATAATGGAATTAAAGCATGACTATGGTACTGCGCGCTGATTGGATGATTTCCTATCCAATCAGCGCCTGATCGAGTCTTGGAGAACAGGATAGAAGATCCTCCTGTTGTTAGCTGCATGCTGATTGGCTAAATCTAATCTGGTCGATCACGTGAATTACAATCCAGAAGCTTCTCATGTGAATACTATAAAGAAACTAATGTTGTATCTATTTTGCCTTCACCTTCGGCTTCGTATTTCCATTTAACCTTACTATTTGGAATATAATCTTTTCCTGTTCAACCGTGTTTTTGATTCTTTGGAACTTGTCCAGTGTATTGTGGTCAGAGTATATATACTAAGCAATAGGATTTAGCTGGGAATCATTCAAGCAAGCATTACAACAAGATGAGACAATCAGTGGAGTTCAGTTCTGTCGGATATAGGCAGTTAACTACTGAAGACAATGGATGGGGTGTGTGCAAAATCCTTTGGTTGACCAGAATCAGACACTAACACCGTTAGATGCCAGCTCAATGGTCCATAGGTTAAGCGTTCACGCGCAAGACCAAAGGCCGTGGGTTCGAATCCCGCGAGTGAGCACTGCTGATGAGTCCCATATCAGGACGAAACGGTCATTCAGTACTTCCAGGTTTCCAATGGTAGTCTAACAATGATTCATTCTTGATTTCAATGTGTAAAAACAACGATCTCCATAAACCTAGAAAGAAATCAGTCATTGCGTTATGGACCAATAAGGCCTTCCAGCTGCATCAAGGTTACTGGTGTCGAAACGACCACAGTTAAGGAAGGGATACAATATTATTTATAATATAGAAAAAAACTAACTCATAAATTAATTACCGGGTAATAAGCGAGTAACTACCATGATTGATTTTAACAAAGTTCCAAGTTTTTCAAATAAACGTAGATGCCTAAAATCATCCACAGCGTATTCAGTGGATTTAGCACCATCTGGATAATTATTTCCAGTTGCTGGAGGTGAATTATTAACATTATTAGTAGTATTATTAGTAGTATTTGTTGGTGTTGTTGTAGTTGTGGTGGTTGCTGTTGTTGTTGTTGGTGGTGGTGTACTACTGTTAGTACCAATCGTTGTTGAATTAGTAGTATTGTTTGTAGACTGTAATGTAGTAGTAGTTGTTGTTGTTGTAGTAGTAGTAGTTGTAGTAGTAGTAGTACTAAGTCGTTCAATAATATCCAATCGAAATTGCCATACTTCAACAACCATTAACATTTGTGGTTCTTTAGGCCAATGAGCTAATATTTCTAAACTAACTAAATCTTGTACATGTACAGGAAAATTAGCATCTAATGTTTGTTTGATAGTTGCACCAATCTCTGGATCTTCTTCTACATATACCATCTAAAATGAAATTTAAGGTAAACAGAGCGAAAAGCTATAATACAAAGAAAAAAGGAAACACAAGCTAGCAGTTGAATATTGCGTACTTGACTTACTTATGCCTTTTTGAGATGGTGGAGAAAACTTGTAGCTCAGGTGGATGATTGTGGTGGTGTTTCGTTCTCTGAATTGGTTGTTTTGGTTGTGGAGCTTTCATTGTTCTTCTGAACAACATCATCAGCACAAACTTCAGATAGAAGTGAAGTATTCGAATTTCTCCATGTTTGACCCGTAGCTTGTTCTGCTAACCTCGATCGAGGTCAAACGTGGAGAAATTCGAATGCTTCACTTCTATCTGAAGTTTGTGCTGATGATGTTGTTCAGAAGAACAATGAAAGCTCCACAACCAAAACAACCAGCTCAGAGAACGAAACACCACCACAATTACTTATGCCTGTTACCCCCACCTATGGACCATAGGTCGCCGACTAGCAGATTATTTTTTCTGGTTAGCGACTGTTTTTCGCGAGTTAGTTCTCTACATGATGAAGTCACCGAACCCATACCCACCCAACCGTCCTCCTCTATCCGGGCTAGGGATCGGTATTAGCCCCAAAAGGGCTCCAGGCGGAGCTGGCAGTCGAAAATGAAGATTATCAAGTTCTCTGTATCATAAGTTTTGCATTCAAAACTCCCAACTACATCATATTGTCATACAATTTACTATTACTTACTGGTTTATGATTTATAGTCTTTCCCACTCGCAGCTACTTTTAGCTGTGTTCATGCAGCGACTACAATGAAAACTTGGTCTAAGAATCGTAAATGAAGCTGTGGATGTTGAACCTGTTTGTTACTTGTAGATTAATCTGGAAGTCAGGATTGTTTCTCAAATATGCAGTAGGAAACATTACACTAATATCTACCGCTTGTGTATACCAGAAACTGTACTCAATGAACAAGAACACTGAGGAGTGAGTAAGCGAGTAAGTGAAAAGGAAAAGTGTGTATACTTTTTTATTTCAAATCAATATGTGAGTTTTTGCAACCAATAAGAGAATTGATGAAGATTAAGAATGCTGATTTGCATTCAATCAAGCTGACATAATTGTGAATCAAATGTTTAAATTACAGTAAATATAAGTAGTGAAAAAAAACAGGGTTTTTTACTTTTTTTACACGTGACCCGGAATAATAGATCATACAAATAAGTTCATTAAGGCTTACAACAAGATATTTCAAATATAACTGATTGAGAGGATTCATAATTTAGCGCAGGTTTTGTAACCATACATTTCCTCATTATATTCGAGTTTCGTAAAGAAAAATCGAGTTTTTATCATTAAAAATATATGATCTAATACTCATAACCTATGAATATCCTACAGCCTGAGGGGTTATGTTTCACATTCGTATATTAGGATGGAGCGAACTGTTTTTACAGCAAACTCATTTTTTGGTTAGCAGACAAAAATCCCGCCTACACCACAAGAAATGAGAGACTTGATATTTATGAACAGTTCAACTTTAGTGCCGAATAAACGACAAGTTATATGAGACACAAGTGTGAATATGTCATAGTAAGACACTCCTGGACAGATAGATCTTAGGAACCATACTACTGAAAATACGGTTTATCAAAATCTTCAAAACTGAGATGATCATCAATTACTATTAGCCAAGTGGAAACTCCGCCAGGAACCCACCCTCTGAGGTTACTACTGCCGGTCCCAAGCCCGGATAAAGGGGGAGAGTTAGGCATGACCTTAGCGATCCCATCCCGTATAAAACTAACTCGTTAAAAAATACACTAACCAGGAAAACTAATTTAAACCATTTAAATTCAACTGATAATTTCAGAACTAAAATCACCCTGAAAGTAATTTGTTATGATCTGATGCTTTATTGCAATCTCAAGTTCATATATTAGTCTAATTTAATAAATCACAACAAGTTCTAGCTATTGCTGAAAAGTTGACAATAGACAAGAAAAAAAAACTGAAACAAGACACGGTGGTTCACGGTAAACATGATAAACTTGGGTATCTCAAGTAGGTGTGCAGGTGATTGACACTTCCCACCTATTTAAACATAGGAACATCAGTACAAAAAGGCTGCAAAATATATACATGCACCATACAAATTAGTGAATTTGTGTAGGGGCTAGGATATTGCCTAGATGCCCAATCCGAAGTAGGTGGATTTTTAGAACCATCCTTCCTAGGCCTTTGATCTACAGGTCCGATCCATGAGGCAATGTAATGGGGCAGTGCCAAGAGATGCAGTCCCATGATAGCTTGTGACCAATAAGAAGTTTATACCCCATTTGTTCCCTCAAGAATCGGGAGCCCATGTGCCTCACTAGTTTGAAATCAGGGTTTTCCAACTTCTCTATCCCTAGCAATCCGGTCTAAGCCCTTACCGGTCATCCGCTTTCTATCCTCTCAATTTTGTAAACAACCTCACCGCGAGAAGACAGTAAGACTTCTCTGGCAGTCGCTATATACATGCAGCCATGAGAGGAATTCCAGAGAAAAAGGAGATTCACTCCACTCTTGACCGAGCAAGAGCAATTGTAAACTTCATATGAGCAAATCCTTCGTCAAAGAATCTGTACGAGAAAGTGAACTGATATACTAGTAGTCACAACAACTTGAAGACTGATGGCAAACAACCCCTTCCTCAGAAAAATAGATAACTGTTTGAAACCGGCAACACATATCCTTTTGGTGAATATCTGTAAATTTGCTAATTAACAAATATTTGTTTAGTACCACAAATGCGCCATCATTTTGGCCATACTAAACATCAATCAACCTACTGGACACTGAAACTAAAGCAATACCCGCTCTCTATTCAGTACAAACAATTTGATTGAAACGTTACAATAATAGGCAAATCTGATCATAGAGAAGACGAAATCACAAAGATCTTGTTAGTATATTCACCAAATATCCTAAGAGTACTATTTTTAGAAGTGTAATCCCATTGGTCGATTTCTATTGGTCAAAATTATGGTCGTTTTAACTGTCAAAGTCAAATACTTCAATGTTGTCTCTTATTGGTCATCCGGACTGTCAATGTCATTTCAAGTGTTCTTTCCTATTGGTCGTCCTGAACTGCCAATATCACAGACTTTGATGCTCTTTCCTGTTCGACCTTAATGTATAAATACGCACTATCTGTAAGACTTCATGATTCGGATTCCGATTCCGTTCTTCCTGCCTACCTCTCTTCTGTTCTCGACCCAATAAACAACTCCATCCCACTGTGTTGCGTTCTGATATATAGGAGATTTGGAAATAGCATTTTGGGTCGTATTGGGATATTGAATTGGACGCCGCTAGGACTGAATAGCTATACGTAGCAGCGTTATAACAAATTTGGCGACGAGTTGGTGACTAATTATGGATCCAGCTAAATTAGACAAATTGTTTGCACGATAGCTGAAGCCGATGGAGATGCTTACTCAGACGCACATCTCTTCTCAAGTCTCATCTACACCGACAATTCCTAAGTCAGTTGACGGTATGACCAGTAGTATTTCTGAGTTTCTTTATGATCCTGACGCCAATATTACATTTGATACTTGGTTCAGGCGTTATGGAGATCTGTTCAAAGTTTGATTTTGCTGACAAAGATGATTCCTGAAAGGTGCGTCTTCTCCTTCGAAAACTTGGTCCTTCAGAACTGGACAAGTATTGCAACTTCATCCTACCGCAGAACCCACATGACCGATCATTCGATGCTACTGTTCAGTCCCTCAGCAAACTTTTTGGGGATCAGCATTCTCGTTATCGCTGCTTAAAACTAGTCATGAATGAGTCCGATGACTTCTTGACCCATGTTGGTATTGTCAACTGCGAATGTAAACGGTTCAAACCCAGATCCCTTACTGATGACCAATTCAAATCCCTCATATTCATATGCAGTCTACAATCACCCAAATTCTCCGACATCAAAACTCGATTGCTTAACCGCCTCGAACAAGATCCAACACTGACACTCGACGCTATCGCTGATGAGTACCATAAGTCATACTGGATGTAAAAATGCAATACAGGTAAAACACTATCCAACAGAAAATACTAATAACTTACCATATTATTTCTGGCGCCAACTTCAGATACACAATTAGTATTACAAACAATCCCGTTGCGAGCTTGTACGATAGCATGTATTGACTTGATTATGAAAGAACGTAAACACCTATAGAAGAAAATAAAGCAGAAATAAAGTAGAAATAAAACAAAAAGTAGTTTGAACATTTAAAAAAAAAGAAAAGGAACATAACGCTCAAAGTCAACATCAAACAACGTGTTAACTGGGGAACTTTAATATAAAACAATAATAACTGTAAAACGAAACAACCAAAAAACTCACTGTGTACCATCCATAAGGAATAAAATAAGAGAGGCTAAAGAAAATTAGTTCTAAGTTGAGGTGCTTTAAATTAGTCACTTTTCATTCATACATAACCAAAAGGGGAAAGAAAGTAATAACATTAAAGTTCAGAAAGTTACCTAGTTAGTTAACGGATGAATCAAACACAATGCCTACTTGAGACCAATTACAAAATGGTGCTTCTATAAAATAGTTCAATATCTGTTAGCTCTATTTTTACAAGTTCTTACACAGTCAACGATATAAATCTGTGGGAGTAAGATGTACTGTTTCGATAGCCAATCTCTTCAATACTTTCTCCATTTGTTGTAGGAACGTATTATTGCTGTAGATGCTGGTTGTCGAGATAAAACACCATACTGCCGTAACATCTCTGTACAATACACACTATGACATTGCCCGTAGACTATGAGTATGCCGCTTTTAGTCTTACCACTTTTTAACTGACCTACTCTGTATGGTGAAACGTAAAGGGATGAGTGCTTCAGCTGGTTCATAACAATACACAATCTCAACTACAATCGGGATTTAAATCCAAACAGTTATGATAAGACTTTTGAAGAGATGTGACAGTGATGATGACGCTGAGAGGGTTTTACGGGGTTGACATTTTGTCTGCAGACCGGCTAATCAGGTACATGACACAACCATTTAGGAAAACAATTTTTAGAACTCCCGAGAATTCTTAATGAATTCGAAATCTGTCTAATGTATGATATCTTAAAACTGATTCAGATAGACATCCAATGGACAAAATAGAGTTGCTGAATATGGTAATGACTTAAGAAGCATCAGTCTCAGTTCACACAGCTAACTAAACATCCCAATTTTAAAGTACAAGCTTAGTCAGTCAATAGCGAAACAGAATATGGTGCAAGTTCGAGATTGGGTTGCGTCGGCACCTGAAATAGTGATAGGGAGTGAAGTAGTCGAGCGTGTAGACCGCTTCACTTATCTGGAGAGTCTCATCAGTGCTGATGGCCTGGTGACTGACAAAATCTCAGCACGGATACAGAAGGCTCGGTTAGCTTTTGCCAACCCGCGTCACCTATGGCGCAGGCGAGATATCCGTTTGCTAACCAAAGGACGAGTGTACTATGCAGCAGTTCGCTCCGTCCTACTATACGGATACGAGACTTGCCCGTTAAGAGTAGAGGACTTCCGTAGGTTACTAGTCTTCCATCATCGACGTCTCCGAAGCACTGCTCGTGTATCTTGGGACAACCGTATAAGCAATGCTGTCGCTAGGAAACGAGTTCTAGGTAAAGATGGCAAATCAATAGATGAAGTAGTGAAACTTCATTAGTTGAGGTGGTTGGGACATGTGTTACGTATGGCTAACCACCGACTGCCGCGACGAGCTATGTTTTGCACAAATCCATGAAGTAATTGACAAGTGAACTGAGCCATGTTGATAGATGTAGGCTACCTGGTTGGGGTCCGCGAGACGATAGTCAACAATGGTTAGAGACCTTGAACGACATGGCTCAGAATCGTTTGCAATGGCGCAGGTGCATCCACTCTTTGTGTTCTATGAAATTCTAACCTTCTGCATTCCCCATAATCTCTACCTTTCTCATTCTAAATTCATCTTACTGAATTATACTTCTCGAAACATATCTTAGTTCCCTAATCTTCTCCATTACTGCTAATACTTTTAGTATTGCTATCACTCTTGGATTTGAACTGACAGTTGTGTCTCTGCGCTGATGGGGCATGGTAACCTGAACTGATGTACTAACGTACGAATTTCTGCGTTGTATCTGTTATATGGTGCAGATGTGCATCGATTCAAAATGCCCCACTACAATAATAAGAGAGAGATTAAACTATCAAGATGAATATTAAAGTAGTAGAAATAATGGTACTATCAATGGTTATAAAAAGACGATTAAGTATGAAGAATCTAACTGAAGAATAGAGAAAAACTGCTAAAGAAATAAAAACTACAGGACAATTTTTAAGATTCAAAATCTAAAAGAAGACAAAATGCAAATACGTCAATCATACCGCCGAACACCTCCAACTACTGACTATGGTTACAACCGAGAAACCTAATAAGGTATAGGTGATTATGAAACTTCATAAGGAGCTACACAGTAAAGGTATGACTCAAGACTAAGTATATTAATAACATGTACTTTGTAATGGACTGAGTCATGTTGGTAGATGTAGACTACCTGGTTGGGGTCCGCGAGACTAAAGTCAACAATCGTTAGAGACCTTCAACGACATTGCTCAGAATAATTTACAGTGACGAAAGTGCATCCATTCTTTGAGCTCTCTCAAATCCTAATCTTCTGGATTCGTCAGCACCTCTACCTTTGTCTTTCTAACCTTATCTCACTGAATTATACTTCTTGAATAATATCTTCAAACCCTAGTCTTCTTCATTACCATTCATACCTCTACTATCTCTATCACTATGTGATTTGATTTGACATTTGCATCTCTGTGCTCATGTGGTATGGCAACATGAACTTATGTACACACGTACGCAGTTCTACGTTGCAACTGACTGACTGACTGACGTACTTTGTAAATAGGTTAGATTATCAGTTTAGATAATAAACTATATATATATATATATATTCTAATAAACATTGAAAACCATTAGACTATTAAAGATAAAACTTATAAAATCTTATTAAAATGAACAATTTTAATTTACCTTTCAATGGCAAGTTTTTCTTCATGTCTCGGGGGTAAGTTGACCATTTAAGTCTACAAAAAAAAACAATCAACCAACAAACAAACACAAACAGTTGAAAAAAATATTACATCAGGAAAATATTTTTTTTCAAAAAAAAACAAAACAAGTAAACAACTTTCATAATATATTGTTTTTATTTATTAAAACAACCGGATTACATAACTAATGCCAGGCGTTGTCAAATACACGCTCACTCACACACACACACATACGTATATATATATTTACATACAGAGAGAAAATATCACTTTAGAAAATAATCTGAAATAATTTGACGTAAAAAATAAGATGATCATAAGGCAATGCTAAGAGAAAAATCTTGCCAGTAAAAAAATTTTTTTACATTGGCAAAATAACAAAAGAAAAGAGAAACAACTGTATAAATTCTCATATATATATATGTATATATATATATATATATATATATATATATATATATACGGATTATCAATAGAAGTGTACTATAAGCAATAGGACGGTTAGAATAAAAGATACACGGTGATATGTGATATACGAAACTAAACTAAATGAGTGTGGTTGTCAGTATGAAATGATAAAGTGCAGCAATTGTGATGATCAATTTCAGAATAAATAAAAAAACAAGATCATTATCAGAAAGTAAAAAAAAAAAATAGAAAACGAAAAACGTTCATTATCTATCTATCTATATATCATGTATCTCTATCTCTACTCAGTAGAACATTTAGAAGTTTCTGTTGTTAAAGCTACATCTTGAAAATCATATGCAGCGGTTAAATGAAATCCCATATTGGCAATTGCAATACCATATTCACTAGCTGAAAACCAACTAAATGCTGAAAAAATAAGAAGAGATAATAATAACATCATTATAATTATGGGTGGTTTATCAATGGGAAATTTTCTAGAAAAGTGATGAATATTTAGTGAAATACACAAGTTAGTCAGTCAGCCAAGAAGCTACAACGTAGAACTTGGTACGTACGTACATACATAGGTTTAAGTTGCTATAACACATGAGTACACAGAGACGTGATTGCCAATTCAAATCTCATAAGTAGTAGAAATATTATCAGCAGTCGGAAAGATTATGATTCAAATATATTATGAAAGAAGTATAATCTAGTGAAATAAACTTAAAAAGAGAAAGATAGAGGTGATGAAGAGGATTAAGATATGAGAGAATACAAAGAATGGATGCACCTGTGCCATTGTAAAGGGTTTTGAGTCATGTCACTCAGGGTCTCTAATCATCGATGATTATCATCTCGCTGACCCCAACCAGATAGGCAACACCAATCAACATGACTCAGTCCACTTGTAAATGATTGCATGGATTTATGCCATGTTTTGGTCTGGCCGCCCCTAGCTTTCGTCCAACAACCTATTCCTAGATCGCAAAACATAGCTCGATCAGGAAGTTGGTGTTTAGGCATGCGCGACACATGTCCAGACCACATAAACTGATGAAGTTTCAATACTTCATCTATTGACCTGCCGTTCTTACCTAGCACCCGTTTCTTAACAACAGCATTGCTTACTACTAGGTTGTCTCATGAAACACGAGCAATGCTTTGGAGATACCTATGATTGAAAATCAGTAACTTGCGAATATCTTCTACTCTCATTGGCCATGTTTTACAGTCATAAAGTATGACGGAACGAACTACTGCACAGTACACTAGTCCTTTAGTCAGAAAACGGCTATCCCGTACATGCTTAAAAGTGACCAAAAGAATATTTCAGTGACTTCGTTTTACCCCATGAATATTATCATAGTGTGACAAAAATCATAAAATCATCAGTTAGTCATATGCAACCCATAACTTCATACATATGTACATTGGTTTAAGATGACAGACCACATTTGAACAGCGTGGTAAAGTTACAAAGAGAAAAAAAAGGGTAGTATTATTAAGGGTAACGGTGTCATTAGTAATAGCAGTAGAAAAGATTGGGCATAGATTATATGATTCGCGAATAAATTTGGGCTATATCACTTGACAATCATCAAGCGTCTATGCATCGGTAACCGATCAAGGAAGGTACAATATGAATGAGCTATGTAGATATACATTTTGAGTTATATATGATACGCTTTAAACTAATAATCGTCATTTCTGTGTAATTTAGAAATAATGCCATAAATTTAGTTCAGTATCAAATGCAGATACATGCACTACATTAAAAATATTATCAAAAACATATACGTGTGTGTAATAGCTTGTAATCTTAGACTTGAGAGATTAAGCTTGAAAGTTATTTTTCAGTGGTACGCAACTTATCAGTAACAACTGATCAGTTGTTCAGGTAAAAGTGAACTTACCGTTTGCCTTACAGGTAAAACGATGGTAATAGAATTGATGGATTAACAATAAGATTAAACATACGTCTAGTCCGAAAAACAAGGACTTGATATTGAAAGAATACTTGAACTAAAAACATTAGGCATACAAAATACAAATACGTTACCCTTGAATTACATGCAGTGATTCCTATTATCCAATGTACCAGTAGAGTAACTATCATGTAGGCAGTTGAAGCGACCAGGAAAACGATGAACAAATGTTCATGAAGAGCTACAAACTTGTTCAGAAAAGCTAAGATAAAACATATGGTAGTTCTCTTGGTTAGATACAAAGGCCACTCCTACGAATGAACCTACATCTATGAGGTTCAGAAGAAATGCAACCAGAATCAGCAATTTAAAACGCAATGACTGGTTGAACATTTTGTGATAAGACATGTGGTATCGAAGATATATAAACGCAAGGAGTAGACGTGGTGCACTATGTAGCCCAACTGAGTAGCGCCATAAATATATTTGAGGTTTAATCCCAGTAACAGCACTGATAGATGGAACAAAATTGGATACCTATAACGTGACTCTACAACAACCAATTACCCCACACACCGACTCCGTAACTTCGTCGAAGGTGTTGTATGTCGATATAAGGAAGCAAATAATTAGACCGAACAAGGGCAGTGATACACCAACCACTACAAATAAGGGGAAAGGGATCCAAAGCAACCTGGACAACCCTTTATTTCCACAACAAGCCATAGCAGGTGAAGCCTCCCCTTACCTGCAACGCAGACCCCAAATCTCGCGGATCCAATA